CAGAATTCCCGAATTCCCGCCGGGCTCCGGCACTTGGGAGGATACGGATCAAAGCCGGGAATCGGGAAAGGCCTCGTGTTTTCTAATTCCTGAGTTCACTCCTGGACACCCTCCGCGGGGTTGGGGGGGTGGGATGATCCAAAGGCTCCTCGTATCCCGTTTTTCCTCCACGCTCCGGGAAAATCCGGAGCCCGTCCGGGTCTCGCGGGATCCGACTCCCGGGATCGGCTCCCGGCTCCCGGCATCTCATCCCGGCAGCCCCCGAATCCCTGCCTGAATTCCACTTCCAAACTGTGCTCCTGGCGCTCCCGGAGCGGCTCCCTCGGGAATCCTCCCCCTCGGGATGCGGCTCCGGCCCCGGCGGGTTTTCCCCCGAAGCTCCTTTCCGAGGAATCGTCGAGGGTTCATCCCGACGCCGGGATGGGGGCGCGTTCCCGAGGGAATCGGTCCCACGGGGAATGTGGCCGGGTAGGGAAAGAAGGAGGATTGTAGCAAAAATACAGCGGGATTTACGCCGGGAGACGCGGCCGCCGCTCCGGCACCGGGGCAACATCCACGAAAATCCACGAAAATCCACGAAAATCCACGAAAATCCATGAAAATCCATGAAAATCCATGAAATCCAAGCGCTCCCGTGGCCGGACCCCGCCGGGATCGAGTCCACACGTAGTTTAAGGCATGAGTCAAGGTGATAGGGGGGGATCCAAACGCAGGGAATGGAGTCACCGAGGCTCCCGGGGCGTTCCCGGGGCGATCCCGGCGTTCCCGCTCCACCACAATCGTTTCCGACGTTCAAATCTTCCCGTCGCTCCCAAATTCCACCCGCACGATTTGGGAGAAGGGAGGGGGGGGGAGGTTTGGGGGAAAAAACAACCCCCCCGCAGACCCCCCCGGGTACATTTTAATGCGTCTGTTAAAGGCATTGGGTTAAGTTTTTTTTGACATCCCGTTCCCGTTCCCGATTCCCTGAAGGATTTTGAAGAGTTTTTGCTCATGGCTTCTGCAGGAGAAAAACAACAACGAAAAAGGCGAAAAGAAGGATTTTTCCCGGAGAGCCGGGAATGCGGATCCCTCTCCGGGAGAGAGGGAGAGGGAGAGGGCGGCTCTCCCGCTCCGGCAGCATCCTGATTTTCTCAGTCGTGTCTTCCTGAATCCTTCCCCTGCTCCAAGGACAGTGCAATATTCCCTCATCCCAGTCCCCCCCCCTCAGCTCCCGAGGCGGATGCAAAGCTGGGAATTCTCCTCTCCCGCCATCGCACGCTCCGTGTAAATATATATATATATATCCATAAAAAAAAAACTCCCAGGGAATTACATGGATTTGGAGATTCCTGCTGCTATAAACACCAAAATAGGCCACGCCTGGAATTCCTCCATCCCCGGGGGAAAGGCCTCAACCCCCTTGGGAGTCCGTGCCAGGCCCGAAGCTCAGCCGGGAAAGCCCGGGAACGACGGAGGAGCAGCGGGAACGACCCCGGAGCGGGAACGACCCCGGAGCGGGAACGACCCCAGAGCGGGAACGACCCCGGAGCGGGAACGACCCCAGAG